CCCCAAAACCCCAAAACCCCAAAACCCCAAAACCCCAAAACCCCAAGAAGGTTATAACTAATTGAAGATTACCAAAATGGAAGATATCTACGAATTAGTCGAGATGCATCCAAGAAGAGCCCATCGGTGCCAGTTTGGATGGTCCCAACTCATCTTCATAGCATACCAAATCGTCTTAAATATGGGCATTTATTGCCAAATTGAGGTGAGTTAATTCAAATCAGATGGATAACAGTTTATAGGAATTTGAACATAAAATACTGAGGTATTATACTCCATTATTAGTCCTCAGCATTATTGCTTATTTCAACCTGGCTTACTCAAATCCTGGTACAGTTAGAATCAAACCTATTTACAAAGGTAAGTAATAATATCTAAAGTTCAGACAACTTCAATCAAAATATGGAAGCAATCGAGACCCAATTCAGGGCTGGAAATATCAGTTTCTTAGAGCCTAAAATTGAGGAAGCTGCTCATGAACCTATTCAAACTGAAATGACCAATGTGTCTAATCCAGAAAGACCAAGACACATGAAGAAGAAGTCTGTTTTAGTTAAAGACCTTGACAAACTTAATAGACATCGTAATTCCATAAACTAAGTTTGTAGGAAGCAAATCCCCAGCTGGAGCCAACAGAACCCCCATGAACAAAAGACCGAGGAAACATAGCGATATAGGAGGACATAAGCCGATATCATCCAGACTTATGGATCAGGGCTCAGATTACCATATGAATAAATAAGAGATATAAGGATAGGAGAAGAGTCATCGGAGATTCTCATTTCTACTCAACCAATATTATGAAATCAACAACTGCAACAAATCATCAAGAGAGTAAGCAAAGCAACATATTTTCATAGCTCTCGGACCAGATGGAACTGTTAGGAAAGTCCAAAAATTTATAAATAACGAGGCTGCAAAGCATGAAAATCAAGGTGAGAACTTTAAAAGACGAGCTTTAGAAACTTTAAACATTAAGGTTGTCCATGAAAGAGAAGAGACAAAGTCTGAGTTGAAGAGTAATAAGACATACGATACTCTGAATCCAAGGAGTACCACCTACGAAGGAGATGACCCTGTCTGTGATAAGACAAGTAAATATTAACTAGCTTATAATATAGTTGGAGATGCTACCAATATCGACTTAGAAGCTAGAGATAATTCGTCGAAAAAGAAACAACAAGGAAATACCCCATACTGAAGTGTGTGTCAAAGCCCTCAGCCTCCTAGAACAGTTCACTGCTTTCACTGAAAATCTTGTATTGCCAATTACGATCATCATTCACCGCTCATAAATTCTTGAATTGGGGAACAAAACAAGAAGTTTTTGTTTTTATTCCAGCTGCTCTTTCTGCTACAAGTCTATTACGCAATGGGGATAACATATACTAGGTTGGAGAAATAATGTACCATACCCACCCCACATAGTCCTCTCCCTGATAGTGTCGGCCATCAGCGAGATGTTCGTGGTACCCATCTTCGGCACAATGGTCCTCTACCAGATCTATATAGCTCTCTACTCATTCAATACTTGTGAATTGTTCAATTGTGATGGAGATGTCAGTAAGTGTTAAGTCGCCTAAATTGCAGCATGTAAGCACATATGCTCCTCTCCCTACAACAAAGGTATCTGTTCAAATTTCATTTCTCATTTCTGAAAATGGAGCTATTCACTTATCAGATACGAAAAATGGCATATAAAGGAAGCAAAGTATCTAGCATAATGCCAAAATTCAATAGAATAAATCACGTGCGGGGTTTTGGGGTTTTGGGGTTTTGGGGTTTTGGGG